CTCTCTCTCCTGTTGCTCTCTCTCCTGTTGCTCTCTCTCCTGTTGCTCTCTCTCCTGTTGCTCTCTCTCCTGTTGCTCTCTCTCCTGTTGCTCTCTCTCCTGTTGCTCTCTCTCCTGTTGCTCTCTCTCCTGTTGCTCTCTCTCCTGTTGCTCTCTCTCCTGTCTGAGGAGACACAAAAAACAGCACCTTTAATGAGAATAACACGTGGGCGGGACTTGATTTTAGTCATCCACTGATTGGATGGTGAATAAGAGGGATCGATGACATCAGCGGAAGATGAGTTGTTTCCAAAAGTTTGGAATTATTAAGATTTTGCTTCTTTTTTTTTTTGAAAGAAGTCTCTTCGGCTCACCAAGGCTGCATTTATTTGATCAAAATACAGTAAAAATTTTGAAATATTATTATAATTTAAAACAGCTGTTTTCTATGTGAATCTCTGTTAAACTGTAATTTATTTCTGTGATCAAAGTTGTATTTTCAGCATCATTACTCCAGTCTTCAGTGTCACATGATCTTCAGAAATCATTCTAATATGCTGATTTGCTGCTCAAGAAACATTTCTGATTATTATCAATGTTGAAAACAGTTGTGCTGCACAATATTTTAGTGGAAACCGTGATAGATCTGATTTTTCAGGATTCACAGATGAATAGAAAGTTCAAATGAAGACAAACTTTGGTTTGTGCAGAATAAGGGTAAATCAGGGCTGATTTTCATGTGATGATGAAGATGATGATGATGGTTGTACCTCCTCTTCTGCTCTATCTCTTCAGCGCTCGGGCCGTTCGGAGGCGGTCGAGGAGGAGGAGGACACGCACCTGTGAACACAAACCTAAAACTCTAAACATACAGGTGTTTTTACACGTTTTAAGGCGAGACGCTACCGGCAAACCAGTGTGTTTTCATGCACTGCTCAGTTTTTTGCTCCATATCGTGTCAGATTAGTGGAAAGAAAACACCCCAGATACACATTTAAGTGTTTCTTTTATCGCACTTTATCTATTTGCGTCTCTAGATTTAAATTTCAATCCATATCTTCAAAGAGTTTTTTCTCTGACACACACCAGATTTTACAGTTTTACTCCTCTATATATTCTAGGTTTGTTCATGTTTCATTCGCACTGATTTAGAGCACATTTTATGGTCTTCTGCTCCTAAGAGCTCTCACCGGCGTCTCCGCTGAGCACGTCGAGCGCGTGCGTCATGCCGCTGGCGAACTGAGCCGCGTCTTCTTTACTGCCGAAGTTCAGACCCCAGACCTGCCGCGCATCGCGCCACTGGTGGAACGTAGGAGTGGCCTGGTTATATTTGATCCCGCGGACCAGAGGACAGTTAATGACCACCTGAAGAGACACACGGATGACGGACAGGAATCAGATCTTCATCAAACAGAGACACACACAACTCTCACGGGAACCAGCAGCTTTGGCCATGAAACTAGCAGTGTGTGATCACAAAGGGCTGGAAGAATCGATGAATAAATAGATAAAAATGTTCTCAGAGAGACAACTATATAAATAAACATTATATTACATATTTTCAGAGGAACAAACAAAGGAATAAATAAATAAAGGGACAAATAAATAAAATAAATAAATATTATATTACATTAAATATTCTCATAACGACAAACAAATTCATGAATTAATAAATAAAAATATTATATTCAATATTTTCAGAAGGATGAATGAATGAATGAATAATCAATCAATCTGCAAGGAACAAACAAACAAATAAAAATGGGATATTCCCAGAGGAGCAAATAAATAAAACAAAAAAATTATTATATTACATTAAGACACACACACACACACACACACACTCGCTCGCACACACACACACACACACACACACACACACACACACACACACACTCACACACA